AATTAATATATGAAATTAATTTTTTTATATCTCTAACAATTTATAATAATAGTAAAAGAAAACATTTCTTAAAATTACTTATCAGTATTTCATAATTTTTATAGATATTCAAAAAACAAACCATTTCCAACAATATAAAAAAAGAACAACCGCATTTTTCATGTATAAACGATGTACTGCATTTAATGACAGAAAATATATTTGTATCTAAAACTGAAAATATACCTACTGAGTAAATTTACTATTATTATTACTTATTTTATTAAATATTAGTAATCCAATTATAATGTAGATTAATACAATAAAAAATGGCATATTTTTCAGTCTTGCTATGGGTTATGTTTTATATTCACCCGTTAATTCTTCTGAAAATTTACCACCGTTTCCAGCTTCTATAAAAGATGGATATGCTATTAAATACATTAATAAAGGTGATTGGTCTCAAAAGTCTAATATATTTAATGTTGTACAAGTGTCAGTGGCTGGTACAGATGTAAGTATATATTTCACTTTTGATGTAATATGTAACCAATAAACATAATATATTTTTTAAAACATTGTATGTTGCTTTATTTGATTCTTCTATAATTTATAACTTTTTATAGCCTGCTTGTCAGAAAGAGATACAAGAAGGAGAATGTGCACGTATTAGTACTGGTGCACCTTTACCACCCGGAGCCAATTGTGTAGTACAAGTTGAAGATACATCTATTGTATCTAAATCATCTGATGAAAAAGTTGAATTGACTATTGCTATATTAAAAGAACCTAAACTCTTTGAAAATATTAGGTAAGTTTTCCTCAGTATATGCTTATATATACTATTCAAAATTAGGAATATGTAATAATGAATATTTTTATTCTTTTAGAAGTATTGGTTCTGATATCTCAGTAGGACAACGTCTTCTAGATCAGAAAACTGTTCTCGGTCCCTTTGAAATAGCTTTGCTACGCTCTGTAGGTTGTGAAAATGTGGAAGTGTATAAGTAAGTTTTAATAAAAATAATGTTAAGTACATACATAAATATATTTGACTTGAAATATTTTGAATAGATGCCCATCAATACACATTATACCGTATAATAATAATTCAGCATATGCAATATCTCATAAATTAAAGAATATGTTGGACCTGGCTGACTTTAAAGGAAACATATTTAGTCACTCATTATGTAAAAAGTTAGTTTACATCTTTAATTGTTTTGTACAATTCTTAATTTAAATTTCAATGTTTTTTTTTTCCAACAGCTTAACCAAATTCTCCGAGTTTTTTGAAAGTGTATTTGATTATGATGATGTTATTATTATTTGTGGTAATATTTATGAATTTTGTAATGTTTTTGAATCACATACTCATATTAGTAACAACACACGCAAGTAAATACAAAAATATGTTTAAAAAGTATAAATAGTGTTTGAAGATTGATATAAATTATTCTATAGGATTTCATTTGGATTTGGTAAAATATATCACAATGAGAAAAAAGAAGTATTTTTACATATAAATACCTGTGACTCAGATTCTATTTATAATTGTGTACATTTATTCATATTGCCTTTTCTAAGATTTACTACTGGCAGAAAAAATATTATTTCTTCAATAAAAACAAAAGTAATTGTTTCAATTTATAACCAATTTCAGATTTCATTGAAATAAAATATCTTATATTATTTTTAGTGTAATATGACCTCATATTATTTACCTTCAGACAAATTTGAAAAAGCTGAACTTGTTTATGAAAACGGAGATTTCAATGTTACTTGTTTCACAAGTAAGTTTTATAGTATTTATATTTTGTTTAAAACTAATATGAATATTGATTACTATTCAATTATTAAAATAAAACATAGTATTATGCTAAACTGTACTCAGAAATTATTTTTGGAGGGGGTTCAAAACCAGTATAATATATGTATATTGTGTATTTACTTAATTTTGGTTAAAAATAAAGTGTATAAATTAAAACAATGTTAAATTATTAATATAGTAATATACATAATGTATCATATAATATAACGTTTCTTTGGAAGTTAAGATAAATAATTTAATAATACATTTTTATTATCTTGTTTACTCTCGTTTAATACAAAAATTTGATGTGCTTGTCACTGTCTGGTGAACAGAAGCATATAATTATAATTTATAACAATATTCTAAATTTATACAAATGTAATATTTTTAATATTAATTATAGATGACTGTCAAGGCGTTGGCCAGCATCGATAGCAGTTGTTGTCGATCAATATAACAGTTTATTATAGACATTATAATAATATTTTTATACAATATTATGATACGAAACAGTCAATAACCTATTAAATAATTTTTAATTTTAGCCATTTATGTTGGGATATTATAAATAAATAAACACATTTTTAAACTATTTAAGAAATTTTAAGGGGAGGGGTTGCTGGAACTTTTGACCCTCTCCCTCCTGATATAGCCCTGATCATGATTGTTTCATAAATATACTTGAAAGAAAAAATAAGCATTCATAATTTGAAACCTTAAATAAAGTTTCTAGTCAGGTCATTATTCGAATAAAATTATTGTTTAGATAATTTGATAACAATATGAGGAAAGTTACTTTGATGCTAACTGTGTTGAATTATAAATTACATTTCTAAATTAATCTTAATTATTTAAATAATAATACATTTTCTAAATTAATAATTTAAAATTACTTCTTAGTTTTTTGATGAGTTTATTAATATATAATGAGTAATTTAATAATTTTACTATAAAAAAGTAACTTAAATTATGTATAAATTACTATCAAATACTTAAAAAATGATTTTGTTACAGTAACTTATAACATAAGTTAAGTTACTTCTCTACACTATTTAATAGTTACATAATTTAAATTTAGTAATGTACCAATGTCATTCAGTAATGGAAATATTAATTAACAATTTTTACTTTTATTTCAGTGAACCGTCTAAGTTGTATTGTAAATATGCCATCTTCAGTAGATGAAATTAATGTTAAGTCAAAAGAAGAAGAAAAAACTGAATTAGATGCAATTGTGACTGAAAATTCTGATTCTTATTTTATTTATTACTAATTATTACATATTTTTATTTTAAAATGTAATTTCTTAAAATATATATTACATTTTATTGCAATAGTTTTAACATTTTTATCTATCATATATTATATATTATATTATAAAATTGATTCTACCACTAAAAAATATAATACATAGATACTATAAAATATTAATTAAACAGAATGCCTGCATACAGCATGTGTGTATGTGTGTAATGTAAAATTATGAATAAAAATTTTAAATCATTTTTACAAGAAAAATAATGTTATTAATTTTAGTTAGTAATTAAAAATACTACCAAAAACTTAAACTGGTTAATCTAGAAAAATTAAATAGAACAATTCAAAAATTATTATAAACCTAAATCGTAAACTGAGCAGATTAAAAAAAATCTTACCCTTCTATCTATATTCACAATTTAATTATTATTACCAATGGTCTATCAAATTATAAATACACAATACACATTATGAATACTTAATACATTTTAGTAGACCAATTAATTTTGTAACTAAAAATATAAAAATTAATTTTTTTTTCTAAACAATATTACATTATTAATAAAAACATATAAAAACAATGATAATACAAATTAAAATGTCTTTAACATACAATTATTTAATAAATACTAAATCAACAATTAAAAATATTTAGATATATAAACTAAAGGTATTTGTTGTCATAAGCCCTCACTTAACAAATATTATTTATTAGATATTTAATGGATAGTCTAAGTACTCCTGTTATACCTATTCTATGAGTGTTTTTTTTTTTTAAGTATCCATTTTGAAGTAAGTAATATACATTGGTAAAACCTGAAAGCGTAAATCGTTTAATTTTTGATAAACCAAATTCGCAAATTCATAACTATACAATATATGCAGTATAAACTTAAATCAAATAGTATTTGACTGTGGGCTTCAAATTTAAAATTTTTTAATTCATTTTATAACTACTAAAAGCTTAATTTTAATAACTATATGATTTTAATAAAATACACTTTATTCTTGTAAAATTTATTTGCATTTATGGTTTATTAAAAAGATATTACTTTTTTTGTTCTTTTGGGTCATATTTTGTACTTATGGACTACAGCCAATATAGCTATTAAAAAACTTCTTTATCATAACATTTTTTACTATATTAAATATTAACATGATAAAGTGGCTATAAAATAAATTTTGAATCGCCCTATATATATATTCATCTGTATACCTATACTTGGGCATTGGCATGTACATAAAATATATATATAGTCATTTAGATAAATTTAAAGTTAACAAGGCCGTATTAATACAAGTTTTGTTTTCCAGAATAAAAATGTTCTTAAAAAAGCATTCAATTTTAGCTAAAATAGAATAAAGCGACGAGTAGGTAACTGCTCCGCTGTACAGAAGATTTAGATATATGATTTACCTACTTCATCATTGAGTTGTTCACTTTAATGGACATTTGAATAAATTAAAATTAATCTAAATATTGTATTGTAATACGACTTATAAATGGTGATCAAATATTAAACTATTTACAAGTACATATTATAATGTAAATGGCTATCGAGAGAATTAAAAATGACAATATTTTGAAATTACTTAATAGTGTCGATTGCCGGAAGGTCGATACAAAGTACATTCGAGATTCGAGTATTGGTGAGTGGAGACGAATGCATTATCAGTTATCAGTTAATCAATTGTTACTTAGTCCTCTACGGTGCTATCAGCCAAGGCCCATGGCCCGTCAATCGTGGATCGTGTCGTATCGCGTCACCGCGACGACTTATTGTTGTAGTAGCCGGTCCACGACAGCGCGCTCTGACGGCAATGTGCTGTAACGACGCGTCGCCCATGCGACACTTGGGTCACACCGTAAAACCGTAGTACAGGCGGCAGGTCGGTCATATGGCTTTCTGGATCGTTTACACTGAATTATCGAGATAACGGTCAACGAGAACGGATCCGCCGCCGCCGTGCCGTAGCGATTTTCTCCCCAGTCCCCGGCGTTAGTATCTAGGTGTGATTGTCTAAAGGCTTACTCAAATTCTTTCCGCCGTTGACGCATTGCCCTATAAGTTTTCAACAACGCCCAAGCTGGTTATTAGACTGAATCGCAACTGAAACGATAGTATCATTGAATCCTTTTTTTTTATGGTAATGACAGATCCTGCTCGTATGTGCTGAGATTCTCGTCAATACCTTGCCAACACATTTTGTCTGACACGATCTGAAGTGACCGTCATGCCTAAGTCGGTGAGACTCGAGAAATGTCTGCCATCGACGTCGTCTGCATCTGGTATACTGTTGCCCGACCACTACGTAGAAAATGATCCAATCATACAAACAATTCTTGAGGCCAAGGCATCGGAATACAAATTGTCTAGGCATGAGAAACTAGTGAAGCTATCCAGTAAATCCTCCTGTCAGGTAATATAACTAACCATTTGTCAACTCCAGTCTGTTAAGACTGTTCTTAATATTATTTTCATCTAAAGCTATTCCATCTATTTTAATTACTTAACTAAACTTCAAAGAGAACAACACACTTTTTTAATCATCTTTACTTTAATTAGAAGCAATCCATAGACTAGTAATTTGCATATTTAAATTTACTTCAGCCTTGTTATAATTCCCAATAATACCTACTTCAAAAATAATCTATATCAAAATTAATTAGTGTTGGAAAAAATCAAAATTGAGTTTATATAATTGTAATATATCAGTTACCTTAAGTTTTTGAATGGTAGGTAATTGTATATTACATTTAACTTTATTTTTAGGTTTCAACTTGTCAATGTAATGGATGGCGAGGTAGGCGTGATAATCGTCTAATGACTTCAACTTGTACGAAATCTGGCTGTAGTCATCCTCTATGTAAGTATAAAATCATATATTTTTTTTAAAAGTTAACTATAGTTAAAGTATGTTTTACTGCAATTTTCAATTTAGATGCTAAAAACATTTAGGTAATAAACAATGACAATGTTAATTAACTTAAATGTAGCTATAATTTCCATGGCTTAAAAGGGGATATTTAATACTTCCTAACATTTTATAAATAACTGATATTAATTTGATAATATTATTTAACGCCACTTAATTACTGCTTTAAGTAATTTTACTTTTGTATGATATTAATAATGGTAAAATAATACTTTACTATTAACTATTTTTTATTCAACATTATATATATTGTTTACTTATAATATAGTTATAATTGATGGTTAAATAATCATAGAGGATCATTAATGTCTCAATGGTGTAAGTTTTATGCATAAAACTATGTACCATGAAATATATATAATAGAATATCAATTTCTTAACGTTCAAATTAAACAAAATAAATAATTTTAAATTCTCATGAATATAAGACTTTGTTTATGTATAAAATTATAATAATAAACATTAGTTTATTTTAATAATTTATTTTACCTATTATTTATTATTTTTTAGCTTCTCATGTATCACATTTAGAAAATGCCAAAGATGAACAGTTAAATACCTTACTAGGATTAGTATTTGATCTCGATAATTTATCAGTCACTGTAAATAAAGATTTAAAAAAACCAAATATTGAGAGAAATTATGTGCAAGAAGACACTTATGGTGCAGTTTATCATGTAAGTAACATATTTTATAATCTCTATAATTTTTAAGAACTAAAAATTAATTTTAGTTATTTATATTTTAGGAATTACGAAATTTTGTATACCCTGGATCTTGTATCACACTCGAAAAATTATTTGGCACTCCACCATTTGAAAATCCAAACATAGTTAAAGCTTTAATGAACTTTAATATGTATAAGTTTGGCCATGACAGCTCTGTACGTTTAACATTAAATTTATTGTATACATTAAATGTATTCATTTTAAAACATACTTATTATTTAAATAAATTTAAAATTATAAAACAATATATGTTTTAGCAACTCAAAATTGCTTTGAAAATCAGTAAATTCTTAACAAAACATTTTGATCTTTGGAAATGGATTTCTCCTAAAGAATTACCACATTGTAAAACATTTCAACATAGAAAAAACTATGAATTCTATTATCAAAGGTAATTCAATAAGCTTCAATATTTCTTGTGTAAAATCTATCTGTATGTTAAATAAATATTTTTATTAATATTTTGGTTTTATGTTTTAGATACTTAGTGTTTTGTTTACTTCCCAAATATCTTCATTCAATTGCACCGAGTTTTAAAATGAGTTTGATATTTGGTCAAGATATTCTTAAATATACACTAAAAGCATTTAGAATGCATTTAACAGACTGGTGTCATGCATCAGCTCCAAAATGGTCAACTAATAGGAAACACTTTTGCATGAGCTATTTACCCAAGTAAATAATTAATTTATCAAATAAAACTTTTTTAAATATACTTAATAATCTATAAATTGTTTCAATATTAGATATATGAATCTATTAGAAGAAGAAGTGTATGCTGTACATTCACCTATATGGGATTTGCATTTTAAAGATTCTGATTTAAAAAAAATTATTCTTACTGGTAAGCAAATTATTTATTTATTTTTTTTTTTATTATTATTTTTTTTATATATTTAATTATGTCTCAACTATATTTGAATTAATAACCTTAATACTTAAGATTCTTTGGACTCTGGGCTAGATGAAACTAAGGAAGCAGAACATAAAGATCGTAGAAAAAAGGATAAACACCCAAATGAGTATGTATCATGTATAAGACTTAAAAGTTAATAACAAATATTTATAATTTAATTAAAAAATAATAAACTAATACTATACATTTCTGGCACACATGTCATATTTACCAAAAAAATCACTTCCCTTGCCCTCATAGTAAAAAATTTAAATATAACCATTTTAAAGTTGTTACTAATTTTAAAAATAAATATTTTTTTTTTTTAGAGAAATGTCAATGAAACCAAATGAAAAACATAGTATTGAAGACGCTTTATCAGAAGACAAAATTATAGACATTCTAAAAAATGTTCAAAGTGGGCCTATCACTTATTCTAAGGTAAAATTTATTTTTTATATTTTTAACTATTACAATAAATTATTCTTACCTCTTAATAGTTTATTATTGAGAACTATTATTAATCATTAATTAAATTAATCAAATTATAACAATTTTTACTTTATTTGGTATATCATTTAATTTTTAGTTATAAGTTATAAATCTAGTTCTGTAAATTCATTCACTATCTATCAAAACTATTTTTTTTTATATAATATTAACATAAATAAGGTAATTTGTTTAATTTTTTTTTCATTTATATTTTGTGTGTTTTAAACATATAAGCTACAATTCCGCTAACCAATGATTATCTGTTTAATGTTAATATTTACTTAATACATTCAGTAATATAGATTTCTTAAATTATTTAATTTATTGTTAAATAATTGTTTATTATTAATAATAATAATAATAATAAATGTCTTAAAGTATTATTTTAATTTTTGTTATTGATACTAATTTAAAATTAATTTAGGAGTTTGGATTAGAAACTGGACCTCGAGGACATCAAGCTCGGACAGAAGAAGAACATGGAATTATACGCTTTGTGGTTATAGGTAATTCATTAGACTCAAGAGTTGAAAAAAGTACTATGTTGTGGCTTATGCAGCTAAGAAATTTGTTCCGTACTCAATTGCCAAGAATGCCAGTTAGATACATTACTCGATTAGTATTTGATACGTGAGTATATTTATTAAAATTCCTAAATACAATAGTTATTACTATTATTGATGTGTAGTTTAATAATTAGTTGCTAAGCATTGCTAATTTTATTTTCTGAATACATTATTCACAGACTATATAGACCATCAAAGAATGTTTTTTAATAATATGAGGTGTTACAATAAATATTATTTATTTTATTTTTAAAAGAAAACATGATTTAGTGGTAACCAATATGTTCAATTGATATGTAGAAAATAATTAATTTCTGTAATATATAGAAATAATTATTCATTGTTAAAAATTTAGTTTAGATATATTAATAACATATTTATATTTTTAAATTAGGAAGCACAAGACATTAGCTTTATTGAAAGATGGTGTTCCTATTGGTGGTATATGTTTTTGTCCATTTGTCTCCCAAGGTTTCACAGAAATAGTGTTCTGTGCAGTTAAAGTTGACCAACAAGAAAATGGATATGGAACACAACTAATGAATCATTTAAAAGATTATCATATTCAACATAACATACTTAATTTTCTTACTTATGCCGATAAACTTGCAATTGGTATGGCTTGAAATAAATAGTACTTGATTATCATAACTTATTCAAATTGTTTTCATAGAATATTTTAAGAAGCAAGGGTTTAGTCAAGATGTGAGAATATCTAAAAAAATACATCAAGAGTATATTAAACATTATCAGGGTGCTATATTGATGCATTGTGAACTAAACCCAAAAATTATTTATACTCAATTAACATCAGTGATACGCATACAAAAAGAAGTAAGTGATGTCGTGTAATTTTTGCTTTAAAAACTAATAAGCAAATACTTTAATAGATAGTTAAAAGTCTGGTGGAAGAAAAACACATGAAAATAGAAAGACACTATCCAGGACTGACATGTTTCTTAGATGGTGTACGCATGGTCACTATTGAATCAATACCTGGTGTCATGGATACTGGTTGGACCCCATCGACACGAGCTACAAGAAATAGTCGTGTCACAGAAGAAACAACTGATATTGATGTCTTAGCTAAACACCTGAAAAAAGTTTTGCAATTTGTAAGTAAACAAATAATAATTTTATTAATACAATATCAGCGTAAATATTATTTTTTCTTAAACCCATTCATAGCATACAAAATATATTCTTATAAAATTGTTTTATATAGTTATTGAATAATTTTAGAATGAAATTTTTGATTTCTTAAATTATGAAAAATAATATTTTTGGGGTCTTTGAATATTGACTTAATATTTTATTACATTATTTAGATACACTGATAGATCAAACCTTCAAAAATATTGTTTTCTATAATTTTTATATTAAGTATTTTACTAAAAATAAAAATGTTTTGCATGTATGCGATTTCTCTGTGTTGCGTATCGGTCAATGATAAAAAATAAATAATTAACTCTTAAATATTACAAATAACTTGTTAATCATAAAATATTTAAAATATTCTATAAGATCTAAGTTTATGTAAACATATATCCATGAATATTTTTTATTGTAGATATCAACAATATCTTTCATAGTCTAACTTACAAAATGTGTCAATTTGTTTTAGGTGAAAAACAATGCATTGTCTGAACCATTTTTGAATCCAGTTGATAAAAAAGTTCCTGGTTACTATGAGCTTATAAAGTATCCTATGGGTAAGTTTTTTTTACAAAAACTATTATTTTTTTCTGATAATTGTTAAAATTATTTAATTATATAACATTGATTCTTTGTATAAGTAATACTATCAATGAAAACAATAATTTTTACATAAGTATAAAGAGTTTGTTATTTAGATAATACTAAAATTATTGTTTTATTAACAGCTAAAGAATATTATTTACAGTTATTCTAAGAATATACTAAAATCAAAATTATTTTACACTCAAAATAATTACCCTTGTGAACTATTCAATGTACTAATGCAAATATACTAAACATAATTAATCATTTTAATTATTGAAATAACACATCACTATTATTTATTTGCTTCATGCAAGAAATATATTTTCTTCTTATCCATTAATTAAAGTTTATATTTGATTGACAGATTTGAGTACAATTGGTAAACGATTGGCTTCAGGCTACTATGTAACTAGAAAGCTATTTATTGCTGATATGAGACGAATGTTTAGTAATTGCAAAACATTTAACCCAGAGGATTCGTATTGGGCAAATTGTGCAGTTGAGTTGGAAAGACTTTTCCAGATTAAAATGAAAGAAATGGGACTCTGGGATTACTAAATTTAGTTATATTTTTATATTTTCGTATTTGGTATAACAAATATGCGTGATTGTAAAACCTTTTTAGTAGATTATTTATAAAAATAAATTATACATAAAGGTTAATTTTATTTTGATGTTTGGGTATAATATGTTGATCTATGATTTTTACTATTAGAAAATAAAATCAATTAACAGATTATTGTTTTTAATGTATTACATTAATATAATAGTAGATTTAAAATTATGATAATTTTTTATATTATTTAAAACAATTTTTATAGAAATTAGTTAACATATTTTGTATCTCTGATTTTAGAAGAAATATGTCTAAAAATAATACTATGATTATGTTAAACTTATATTATATTTTCTACCATATTTGTAATTCTATGCATTTTACTAATGTATTTTTTATTATAAAATACCATGTCATGTTTTGTACGTCTGTTAACTAACAACCAATGTTTATCCCAAAACTTTACCATAATATTTGCAAACACTTGGCTAATTTAAATTGTGTAGGTCCACCAATGTACTTTAGATTAATAAATATTTTATAAGCCAAATTGTTAATTAATTTGGTATATTGCACAAAAGACAATAAATTTATGTTTGCTTTTCTTTTAAATTTAGTTTTTAATAGTAAAGTTTGATTTATGAACAATTTTCATGTACCTTTTATTCAGTTTTCATTTAAGAAATAAACAAAACATCCTGTCAGTTAAATTTTATTTTTTTTGATATCTTTTAATATTTTAAAATTATAAAAAGTGTAATAATAATAGTTTTGTTAAAATAGTAGTGGCACATTGCCACCAAAATATTAGTTTAAATATACTGTAAGCTAACAAATCCATACAAAATTATTATTATCATAGTTTTTATTACTTTGTATTAATGAACTTATTGAACGCTAACCTTTAAGTTCTTACCCATTTATGTATTTAATACTTTATTTGTAATATTAAATTAGTTTAAAATAAATGGCTTAATATAGGTATATTATATTTAGTGGCGTAAAACACCTAAATCATACCTATCCCAACCACTAAATCCCATGAATGTAATTTTTGATAAAAAAAAACTGTTCAATAAATGAATTTCAATCATGATTATACATTGCTGTCAGCTATTATTTAACAAACCCTCCACTGACTATAAAAAAATATATATTGATAATGTTAAATTGATTATAGCTAATCGCACCACCTCTGTGAAATTTGACTTATTTAAATAAGGCAATCTAATTATTTAGGTACTCTAAATTTATATCCTATATACTATTTTGATCTAAAACTTATTTATATTAATCAGATACATAACTTAAATACTGATTTTAAAAATATTAGTCTAGAATTACAATTATGGTTATCTATAAGATGTCCTCCACTGTGAGAATATTATTTATGTATAGAGTGCTTATAGGAGTAAGGAAAATTTATATTAATGTACAATAGTTTGGTTTTGAATAAATACATACAAATAAAAAATTTTAAGCTATTATATTTAATATTTATACATCAGTACATTTAATACGTTAAAAAAATAATAATCATAAATATACTAATATTATATGAATTAATTTTCAAGTAATCACTATCTTTCCATAGATTTTTCTTAATATCAATAGCATACAACGATTATTTTCACCAAAACTCGAATCATCCAAAATGAGCAAAACGGCGCAAAATAAATAATCAATCACGAGCGAAGCCGTGATGGGTCGGCTAGTTTATTATAAAGTTTTTACCTATTTATTTCATAATGTCGGAAAATTCTAAATTGTCACGACCACATAATTTTAATTTTTAATTTAAATTTTTTACTACTGATGTAATTGTTTTGTACTGTACATTGTGCAATATTTCAGTAAATGATGATTGATGTTTTAGTAGTACTTCAGCGTCTTCAGCACATTATGAGTATTACAAATAAATGTATTAATAATTTCAAAGATAAATTGTTTTCAATAATTAACAAACAGCAACTTGTTTCAAGTATTACAGAAAATTACCTTTACATGAAAATATATGTTTTGCACTTTTGAGTGCAAATATCCTATCAAAAAAACTTAAAAATCAAGCCTTTCGAGAACTTTTTTAGCAAATCTGTAAAGCATGATATTCCAGACAAATTCACTTAATTATTATTTATATGTATGTAATATAATTTAAAATTTGTAACAATAAACAAATTATATTTAACTGAAAAAGGATAAGCTATAAATTTAATAATATAATATATTTTAAAATAAAATTAGAAAAATTTAAACTATACGACAATTAGACAATAACTGAGTTATTAAGAATTATACCTATTTTGTACCTAATTAACGATTATGGTTATGAGAAACGACAAAATACGATTACCCTATTAAAAGATCAATGTTTTTTTTTTTCGTCCAGTTGATTGACATACGGATAATCGGAGTTCTACTGGCTACTGTGTAAGTTCATTACATAACTAAACAAAATAAATGAAAACTAATACAGTGGAACCTCAATAACTCGAATTGGTTGGGGGCGAAAAAAAATTCGAGTTATCGGAAATTCGAGTTACAGAGGTTACACATATGATATGTTATGAAGTAGGGGCCAAGACATTCTTTCGAGTTATCGAAGTTCCACTGTAGTACCTATCTTAAAATATCTAGTCGTTTCAATGTATACAGATGTAACATTACATGTCGGCTGTACCAGATGTAGATAGAAGTAAAAAAAAGAAATATTATAGGTACCTAATACATTATTTTATATTTGTAAATAATATATAATAATATAATATATATTAGTAAGTTATGTATATGTACTTTCATTTTATTAGGTGTTATAATGGAAGTAACGACGGATAACTTGTATAAAATTGGTACGAAAAATGGCATTATTGCACAACTATTTTATCATATATATCAATTTTCATCTTGTGATGGGGTAAATAATAAATATAGGTACTAAATATGAATGATATACCTACTGTCTACTGAATCAATGTTTGAAGGGTAAAGTTTTTGAAATTTTTTTGTATACGGAAATGTTATAAATTATAATAATAAATGTATATGTAAAAAAAATGTATTAAGCAACTCACGTTTTCATAACTCACTTGATTGTTAAAATAAATAATGATACAATACCTAGTATGTACTATGTAAGAACCTACAGTGATTTTATGTTGACAAATTATAAAAAATTATAATTGATTTTAGTAAAATGTAATTTTATAATAATACTTTTTTTATGTGATAAATTGTAGTTTTTAAAATATGTTTTTAAATATTATGATTTGTACAATAAAGTCAATAATTGTAGTATAAGTACCTACTAATATATAAAGACTTAGGTAGGTAGGTCGTAGGTATATCTATTTTTATATGATATACTGATATTTATTTAGAAAATACTTTTAAAATATAATTGTTGTCTGTTATTATAGTATAGTAATACGTATTTTATTTTACATTATAATGTTTACAGTGATAATTGTACACAACGCGAATTGTATACCTACCTAATGTAACTTATACAACATAGGCGTGGATTAAGGTGTGAGAAAAAAATCAAAAGCCTTCCAAAATTATTAAACATTTTTCAAAGTATTAAATAAGTTATCTTTCAACAATGCAAAGAAATATTTAAGCCCCCCTAAAATTCAGTAAAATATCCGTCTATGATGTACAGCAATATTGTACAATCGCAATGTGTACCACAAAAATCACAGCACTGCAGTACATTTTGTGGAAAAACTTAACAACTTATTTATTTACATCCACAGATATATATGTTAATTTTAATATATATATATCTGTGTTTACATCAGACTAATAATTAGTATGAAAAAGTGATACAAATTGCAATTTCGGAATTTTATCAATATGGAAATAAGGTACTTCAAATCTAAATTAATTTATTCTTAATGTTAAAAAAATAATAAAACAAGTTTAAAACTATTAATATAACTTTTTAGCATACAATAGCATAATATACTCTAGAAGAAAATGAATTATATTTTACCACATCTCATTTATAGATTTTATTTAGCCTTCAGTATAAATTAAGTCCATTTCTTAATTTAACTACTCATTAGTTGGTCATTTTCACTGTACAACTAAATTCGTTAAAAAATTCAAACGTTATTACTTATTACTAATAACTTATTAGTAAGTACATGTTGACTTCTGATTTATGATTCTTAACTCATTACTTGCGTACATAAATACTTACTATTCTAATCCATAACCTTAACTTTCACTTCTGTTTCTTTTTAAGCAATCAGTAATCACCTATTTACTAACTCTTTTATAGAATCCTTAACATGCTAAATAAGTATAAATTTGTCATATAATTTTATCTCAAATTAATTATAAACCATAATTGAATAAGTATTTTATTTTATTGTTACATACAATTTGTAATTTTCTGAATAAACTATTAATATGTAAATTATAAAGTTATTGGTTAATTATTGTAGCTTATACTTTATGTCATATTATATATCAGCGGTTCCCAACCCATTGGCCACAGCCATAGGTATAATATTAAACATTATATATATTTAAAATAATATTATTATATATTTTTTATTATATTTCTGATCATAATAATATTTAATCAATTTTAACTATAGTGTACAATAAGTGTACAAGTAACAAGTTTTAATCCAGATATTGACTTTCTTGTGAAGAACAAGCAATGTCAAAAATCACATTAAATTGTTTATTTTGTGATTAAGTTGAATTAAGTTTTTTTTAATAAACAATTGTTTTTTTTTAATTTTTTTAATTTTTTATTCCTAATAACTATCTATATATATATATAATATATGACATATGTTATGTTATATATTATAATTTTATAAAAACGTATATAGGTATGCTATGGATGGGCCTCAAATATTTTTTTACAAAATTAATGGTCCGTGAAACTAAAAAGGTTGGGAACCGCTGTTATGTATGATTAATACTAATAATACTATATAGTAATATTAAAAACAAATGTAAACTCATGTATATGATAAAAAGTATATTTATTTAAAAATTTTAATGATACAATATTTAAAATCTTATCATTAAATTAATATAGTAAATTAAAAATTACTTAAAATTAAATTAAGTTTAAAATATAATTAAGAAATACATGTACAATAATTATGTATTTTTTTCATCAATTTTATCTTATTATAATATGAAGTTTTTGTATTCTACAATAATGTATATAATACATACAATAAAAATAAGCGCATAAAGTCATATATTATGTACTTGTAATTTTTTTTTATTTTAGATTCTTAAAAAATTATTTTGGAAAAAAAGAAAAAATTGACATTGTAATTAATATAGTTGTAAAACTTAAAAAAAATATAGTAAGTATACATGTATTTGTCTCATCTATTTTTGTGATATGGATGTCCATATTGTATAAATATATTCATCACTATTTTAGAATACCAAAACTATACATTATTAAATTAATACAATCTTAATTGTTATCGTTATCTTAATTTCTTAAATATTATTGTATTTCACTACATTTTTTAGAAAATGAAATGGTAAATTTTTAAGGTATCACTTTAAAATTAATCTTAATCTATAATTATTAGTTCATGAAAAAAATAAAATTTATTTTTATTAATTAATACCTATTGATACCTGCATAGCTCTTAAGTTTTTTAACAAACTTCATTCATTCTCAAAACATTATTAATGTTATTGCAAACATTTGTAAACCCATGTTTGTCAATTAATTTTCCACAAAGAGTTGCTTCAAAGTCTGTGCTTGCGAGTCTTTGATCCCGGTCGTTATAAAACTAATGAAAAAAAATAAGATTAATCAATTAATATTACGATATTATTATGAAATATTAAATAAATGGTTACTTCATCAAATACGAAAGAAGGTACAAAACGAGGTCCATGTGTTTGATCTTTAGTTCCTATTTCAGCTTCCAGCATTAACAAATAGCCCTCTCGGCTAGTAACACATGATTTAATTTCATCTATGATAAGTCCAATGCGACCAGCACACTGAAACGTGAGTATAAATAGTTAAATATAATGTAGAAAGTAAGTAGTCACTTTGCTAGTATCAATTACATTTATTTAAATACCATTAAAGATAAAGTTTAAAATATAAATATTTACAATGCTTTAAAGTATACAAGGTATAAGTTGAAATTTTTAATCTTATTATATTTTAAAATTATTATCAATAATAATGGTTCTTAGTTTATTTTAAATATGTTTTTCATATAAATATACAAATCAATCTTTTAGTGTTATCATTTTTATTAAAAACGTAATTTACTAGATATAATATTTTTTTTTTAATTAATTTTATTACTTGCTTTTACTCCTAAGAATTTATTTTGTGTTAAAACCAATCAGCAGTCAGTAACAAAATTTTTATTATTTTACCAATTATTCTAAATAATAATTAGGTTTTAGACAATGTTATATTATTTATCAGTAATTTAGTACCAGCTAAGTTATATTTTTAATTAATACTAAATCTATCAGAAAATTGATTAGAATATATTTACCATTTCTTCAACATGTATTGTATTATCCACATGTTCCAATGCACAACTCAAGTACTCCATATAAGCTGTAGTATTTCCAGACAATTTGCTTAACACACAGTTATGTACTGTGTTTGCAAGGCATTCAATACGTCCATTCTGACAAAAGAATCCCATATTTGTGCTCTAAGTTCAAAAATAATGAATTAATGATTCTATACGTTGTACACTTATAAATTAATTTTTAATGTTAAAAATATTATAATGCCTATTCATTTAAATTAAAAATATACAATTATAGACTATTGGATTATAAAATATTAATGCTAATTTATAGAAGTAGATACTGACATAGTAATATATTTTTAAGATGCAAATATTTTAAAAGGTATGTTTATAAATTGTAATTTTATAGTACCAAGTTCATTAACATTATAAATTGATTTAACACATAATGAAAAATATTGTAATAATCCTTTACAGAGACTTTAAATTGTTTCTTAAGGTACCTATAACAAATTGCAAGTTATGATATAATTTTTGGTTTGGTTATCTAATGACTTAAAACCAAGGAAAATCAAAAAATTATTATTAACAATAGCTCCATGAAAATATATTTCATCACAAATTCACAGCATAAACTTCAAATAAGCATTATTAATAATTATTAAATAGTCTATTAATAAACCTTACAAGTAGATAACAATATTGTAATAATGTCAGTTACCTTGTATTACAACTTCAAGCTTTAGTTTCAAACTCTTACTAAATATATTTGGTACAGTTAGTCTGTTACTACTAATTTATTATTTACTAGATTAGGTTATTCTACCCGTATAAAATCTAAATATTAAAAGTAAATAAATAAAATATCAAACATAAAAAATAAGTAAAATTTAAATTTTAAATATAATTCTATTATTTTTCATCATTTGGTAAAATATCAATGTTTCAAGCTTGAAATACAATTGAAATGTTTCTAATATATATATATATTATTATTATTGAATCAAGAATAGATTTTAACAAATTTGTATTTAATTAAAACTGATGAATGATTTTAACCGGTGAAACCTAAAAAAGCAAATTGTCGACTTTTTTCGATAGACCAAAAGCATAAATTCATTTTGCGCTTTTGTACCTTAATAATATAGTAGAATAAAAGCACAAAAATAAATATTTTACTCGTTACACTATAAGTTTCATTTAAAATTATTAATTATTAAATTAAATTATCCATTTTAAATAAATATATAGTATTTTTATAATTCAAAAATACATTAACAGTAATTGAGTTCAGTTGAAGTTTAGTATTATTGTATCGTATTTTATTGTAACGAATTACGATGAAGGTTGATAATCATTTAAAATAACTGTACAATATATACAATATAAACTTATGTCTAACTTATAAAATACACTTTAATTTTGTAAAATTTATTAGCGCTTATGGTATGTTAAAAAGGTATTTTTATTTTTACGCTTTAGGTTTGCGTTTGAGTCATATTTTCCGCTTACAGACTACAGTCATTTAACGATCGTTCAATTTAACGACTTGGTATAGAATTTATATTAATACTTTTTTGCATTATAAATAGGTAGATACTCACATAACCTTTACCAAAAGGCACCAAATTCAAGTTCACATATTTTTGTATTTTGCAGTAGAGTGGCTTAAGTTTTGTTAAAATGAATTTTATACTCTCTGTAGAGCGAGCACTGTAATAAATTGACAAATCCAACTAAAATAAAAAAAATTAATAATTATTATTTATCAGTTTCGTCAATGTATTGGTAATAAATATTATTAAATCGATAATCATAACATGATATGGTATGTGTAATAAATGTTGAAAAAAATTCATATTAGTAAATGTCACAACTTACTTTGGTTTGCTGAGGTATTGGAACATCCGTTGTGGCGTTCATCACGGCAATACCCATTGCACAGACTAAAAATGCAAAGCAAGTTTTCATGTTCATGATGATGATTCTCTGTTGCTCTGGTGTTTCTGTTAGCTCGTACAATGATATACTGAATTGTAATCGATTATGGATACAGTCTTGAGGTAGATTTTATTTCAGCCCTTATTCCTTTCCAGCTGTGTGTGAACAACGAAACTGGTTTTTGTTCAATTGTGTATATATAATGCACCTGCTACATTGCACAGGGGTTGCAGAATAATAGGGTGGCTAAAATGGACGGTTTGATTTATGAAATGTAAGTCTTTCAGTGATCAAATATAATGTTTAGATACCCTCTTTTATTACCAATCTTAGGGTTGGTTTGAATGGCTTTTTTCATTCGTTCCACATGTTCGGTTTTTTTTTTACTTAAAGGGACGTCATGTTGAATGCTAGTCCTTGGAATTTTCATAAACCTACTATATAAGTTATATACAGATGGACTACCTGCTGCTAAAATATTGCTTAATAAAAATACAAAGTATTGTTAAAGAAAAAAATCATTTATCATCAAAATTGAAATCTTTAGAAACTAACTGATATTTTTAAAAATATACTTTTTGTATATCTTTGCAGCTACATACAATTCTAAGACATTTAAAAAGATTCACGTCCACCTGCTATACATTGTACTTTTTAAAATTCATAACTAAAGAACTTGCTCGAATATATTTTATACGTATGTAATTTGCAGCCTAAATATTTTTGTATTTATCAGTAAATTACAATAAGAGATATTTCTTAAGCCTAAGATTAGTAATATAATTATATTAATAATTATATGGTTTAAAATATTAGCTTTGTTGTTGGTGATTAAAACATATACTTTTAAAAATAAGTAATTAAGTAACTGGTAAAAGTTTGTGTGAATGCATGATAATTCATGTCTAAGGTCTAAACGAATAACTCTTAATTGAAATTCTTGAATTTTTTTTTGTATATAATTTTGTTAAATATTTAATTGATAATATCTAAAATATATAAAAACAGAATAGGTAGTTAATATATCACTAATATGATTTAATAAAAAAATAAGCTTAACAAATAATCATAAATACCCATATTAATAAAATAACATAATAAAGTAATAACACATTTACTTATCCTATATCTATAATAAGTTCATTGGTCACGCTATAATTAGGTATAGCTTATTTATAATCGATAATCTTTACTTCTCTTTAAAAAGGCTCATCTTATTAGTAATTTATACTATTTTGTATTACTGATTACAATATTATTTAAATTTATTTGAAATACTTACTGATTCACTTGCATAATAAATTCAATTATTAAATGACGTATCAAAATTCCAGTTATGATTTAACATAATTAAGTAAAAGTATATATAGAATTAAAATTCCCAAGATGTTAAATAATATAATAAATTTACATAACTAATTAAACGAAAACATTAAAAGTAATCATGGTTAAAAGTTTTTATTAGTTAATATTTAAAAAAATAATAAATAGTTTTTTCATCATTTAATTATGAAACAATGAAAAACATTTTGAACCTTCTTCTAGCAAAATATAATATTTATTCAAATTTGCTATTTACAGTACTAAAGTCCTAAGTCTATATAAAATAGAAAGGAAAATAATGTATTTACATTTTCTTACAATTTCTTAGAACGCTGTTTTCTTACCTAGGTACTCTGAACATTTTCCCTAAAAAAATTTGACCATTGCTAATAATATAAAATGTGACTAAATTGTTTATGTTTTGTGACGGTTATTTTTTATCTTTAGAATTTTGAATCGAACGATATTTTATGTATTTCTACCGTATAAATTCTACTAAGTACTCATATTAGTATATTGAATATATTCAGTGTATTATAATATGGCTTCCTTTTCCAACCATCAGTATTTACACAAAGAAAAATAACCGGATTAAAACGACTACAGGTGGTTTCTATTTATTTGAGTATCGAAATGGGCGATTAAAAATTCCAACTAAGTGTTTGAATTTTGTGTACTCTCACAGGAAGACTGATGATGGAAAAAAATCGATACATCGCGTGTAAACTCCACTGGTTTATAGTTGTTGAATTTTTATATCATTTGCACTAATTTTCATTTATAAATATTTTAACCTAGTGGATTAAATATAGTTATTTTATTTTAATTTAAGCAATTATATACGAAATCATATAACATTTTATTGTGATGAACACGATGACATTTCACATGTAATTAAATTCAAAGAAAATATGGTAAAACTTAATTATATTATATAAATAATTAAAAATATTGAGATGTGTCAGCGCACTATTTGTTTTCTCTATCTGATCCACGCGCAATGTTATTTACAATATTTTAGTAGTATCAAATATTTAAACTTTCAATTCTTCTAAACTTTTAAGTATAATTTTTCTTCAGAAATTGTTCATACTTTTCTCCAAAACCTTAAATTAAATTATTAAAGTTGTATAATTTTCTAGGTTTTTTAAATTCAGCTTAAATTATTTTATTCCGCTTTATTAATATATAATTTTCATACTTTCTTTTAAACGAAAATTAATAATCTACCTACTAATAATATTATCAGTAGAACACTAGAACCTTACGATTATAATTATCAAACATAATATGTAACATAATTATTAACAAGCAAACTAGCATAAAAATTATTACACGAAATTTGAATACTGTACTAAATTCTATAGTTTGAATTCTTGGTATTTATATTTAACAATCAATATTTTTTTTTATTTGCATAAGATTTCACAAAGTAAAAAAACCATACTATCCTTGGTAAGTTGATAATTTTTAAAACGTGTTTGGCTACCCCTGAAATCTCTATAGACATACAAGGTTATGTATGTGATTTACAATAATAGAATTGGTGCTGTGGCCATCTATTGTAGTACAAGAATTCAAAGACGTCGAAATACACAATACCACTCTAATATAAAACGATGTCATTGTGTATGTAATCTGAACAAAGACGTAAAATTTATAGGTATAGTAACCGTAATAATAGTAATAATATTATATATATGTGTGTGTATTATTAAATAACTAAGGTTGCTATTGGTCGGTCTTGCTCCTGCACGATCCTTTGTCCGTTAATACAACGTGTTCATAAGCAGCTGTGCTAACCGAAAAGATTTTTACATCTGCCTGAACGTATTCGGTAGGTTGGTAGGTATTAAGTTTTCTATTTCAATACAAAAAGTTTCCAACTCTACATCAGTTGTATTTGAATTAAGTCCAAGCGAAAAAAACTAACCATAACAATTATTAAATCCCTTTTATAGATATTGGTTAAAATTATGTTAAAATATGTTCTATCTCATTTATATTTTTACAGCAATCAGCTGTATATTAAATAACACAGACTTATGCATTTAAATAAAAATAAATAAATTTATAAATTTAAGTAGTTATGATTAAAAATGTTATTTTTTCATTTTAAAAGTCAAGATTTAATCCAAACAAAAGATAATAAAACTCTGGACTCACTTGGAAAATTTAAAAATATTGTTATTTCTGGGATTCAATTCAAATACACTGTTTACATTATTAAAAAAAAAATTATAGTGTAGTGATCATTGTACAGTGTACAGGACACTGCGATCGGTATGACGATTATTATTTAAACGACGTAACGCGTTCGACGTAATCTTGAGACGTATTGAGGAAGGTAGGTGTATTGAAAATAAAAGAACACTTTACAAGTTACAAATAAAAATGTATTTTCTATTTGTACAACTTTAAAACAATTAAGAAGAATCTAGAACTCACTGTCGTAAACTTGTCGTAGGTTTACAGTTAACTACCTTCTCTACTAATGCAAGGTGCTCTACCCGTATTTATGGGTCCTGTAAATGACATATGGTGGCGTAATTATTCTATATTCTAATTTTACATCCTGTTCGTGTCTATTATGCATTTTTATGCATATAGTGAAAATAAGTTGTTTTCACCTTTGATCTAGCTTTACTTATTCACCATAAATTACAATTAATACCCACATTAGTTGTCAGTATAAATTATACTACATGTATAATTTATTATATTATATTATAATAACTAGAATGATTACATAGGATTTAGGTTTACTACAATAGTTAAACACGAATTTCCACTTTTAATTAGTTATATATGTGATCATGAACATTGTTACCTTAATAGACGACACTTAGTAACAGTTTAACGTATATTGTGATCTTTTTTTTTACAATTCTTATACCTAACTAGATTTATTTGATTTTCTTGATCACTATCGGAATTGAACTGTCCAGTAATCTTACATGTACTTATTCATCACCGTTTTCCAAACAGCTGTCTTCATCGATTATACTTTCTTCTCCTTTTCAATAATGATTCATCAATTTACAGTTTATAAGTACCACTAACATTTTGTCCTCCCATTTTTCGACGTTTTTAAGTAATGAACAACGTATGTCTTTACACGGATTAAACCAGTTAAAAATATTTGTATTTGAACAACCCGTTAAATTGGATTTGGAAAGAGTTTTATTAATTTTAATGGGTAAATCTTGAGACCAATAATAAATGAGTTCTAGTATTTAGTATAAACTGAGTTTTTAATTACTTCGTGTAATCTTTATATGTATGAAATCCTGATGACTCAAATTATTTTATGATACAGCGTATAGGACCGATTTCTCGAATCTCAGTTGTACCTAATTTTGTTCTGATGTCTATCTTAATTACACGTGGCTAAAATAGTATAAATTACAAAATTAGATTCATTATTATGAATATGATATGTTTTATTCGTTGATACAATGAATACTTTATTTTTAATTTTTTAAATGTTTAAATGCTCTTACTCAACTGTACAATAAATTCAGTCATTGCTGGCCGCATACCATTATCATCTATACTTATATTTTAATTTAAAAATTTGCCTTTTAGTCGTTTCTTCACTTGTTATTAACAAATTATTTATACTTTTTTGTTTTAGCAGAAGCATCAAACGCATATTATTCTTAAGCATTTTAAACGTATAATGTACACATCATTTTTTCAAGACACGCGATTTTGTTGTGTTAATGTTGAAAGGAG